CTTCTTCTTCACATATGTCTCTGCTCCATGTGCCCGCTCCAAGTCTTCTCACTCCTGCTTCTTATCTCCCAAATCCTTTTTAGCCTTCCCTTGCTGCTCAGCTTTACCCTTCCTAGGGTGGACAGGAAACGTGGAAACTCCCTTTCTGTAGGGGCTAACGTTATACCTCGGCAGAGCAAGTGGGGGCATGAAGACTTATTCAGAGACACTTGGCTCACTGTAGGCAACTGACAGGCAGCACCGGCACACCCCCCCGCCCCCCTCCCCGGGCATATTTGTACGGCCTGTCTGTCAGTTTTACACTCTCCTCTGTCTAAGCTTAGTACTTGGTCTTTAATAAATATCTTGCACCCCAAACTCCATCTCAGCATCTGCTTGCAGAGAATCCAACCTGCAGCACTACATCACCATATTTTTTGTGCTCTGGAATTCATGTTTTATTATATTTTTCAGTGGGGCTACTACAAGACTCTAAGTACCAGGAAGGTCGGTGTGTGTTGAGTTATAAAGTATGTCTCCGTCAATCTTTCAGTTTGTGAACCATATAAGAAAGTTGATATTTTAATTTTTTAAAAAAATAAGTGGGCTGAATTCCACAACCTCTTTTATTGTTAAAGCCAAAGAAACAAGAGGTCAAAGTGGAGGTTTAGGTCAAGCCCCAGCAAGACTTAATACCTAAAGGCAGTTTCAGCCAAGCCCAAAAGTGGAATTTTAAATTGATCAATCTGGAATTTTCCTGGTAAGCTGTAGTCATCTAATCTGACTTTCCCTAAAGCAAGGTGGTTTTGCCTGAAATAGTTTCTGGTCCCACCCTCTTTTCTGAGCCGAAAAACCTTCCATTTTTTACAACTCCTGGCAGCATTTTTCTGTTTGCCAGATGGGACGCTGTCCCATTGATGGCTAATTGAAAAAAGTCAGTTTCTCTCTAAATTTATTCAGATGAGTTGTTTTTATTTTTTTTAAAGATTTATTTTTTGTTTTTATACAAGAACTGGTGTACAGGCCAAAGGCGCCAGAGGGTAAAAGGATTCACCAGAGACAGAGTGGGAAGCAGAACAGGCAGACTGAAATACACTGCTGAGGGGAGAAGTGGGTGAGACAGAAGAGTTCTGCCATGCCATGTGGGACTTTGCCTGGCCAGCCGCGAATCGAACCCGCGCTACAGAGGCTGCAGACAGCTTCACAGCAGTGCACTCAACCCGCTGCGCCACTGGGAAGGCCATGAATTGTTTTTAACACTAATAAGAGTGCTATCACTTTTGATTTTCATGCACAGGAATAAACCAACATCCTATCATTCATTACCTTATAATTTGTGGACCTTTGCCAGAGACATTTTCTGACTTAGGGCTTTTGCATTTTCAGTCCCTTCTACTTGGAAGACTCTCCCTAGTAACTTGTTTCTTTCTTTTTTTAGAAAATGTATTTAGGTTTTCTGATCAATTAAGTCACCTCCATTCACCTGCTGTCTACAATATGACTTCTCATTATTCTCTCTAGCTGTCGTAGTACTATCCTTTAGGGCATATTACATGTTTACTTATATCTCCCATGGGCGCTTATTTTTTGGGTGGCACTCACTGTTGTTTCCTGAGAGCTTCGAGTGCCTTATATGAATATGCCTTATATGAATATGGGTGCTCCAAAGAAATAGGATTTGCCAACATGGTACTCAGTTCTGCATATTTTCAAATAAATTCTAACTCCATTTGTAATTAGAGCCTATAGAAAGTAGAAATAACCGTTAAAAGTAGAACTTTAGTTAATTCCATCGTCTGGCAAAATTTATTTAAGAACTGAGCTGTTTCTGTCCAGAGTAACCCAAATTGCTACATTTATTTTTGAAAAGTAACCAGTGCATTCACCTACCGTGCGATCAAGCATGAGACATGTAACTTAAAAGTTACAAAATCGTCCAGGTTGGGACTAGTTCTGCCAACCTCCCAAGTTGTCCTTCCAGCCGGTCAGATATTTAGAGTTACTCTTAAGAATAGCTTCACCTTCGCGTAAAGGAGCACCTTTTAATGATGCTCAAGAAATGAGAATAGATTGTATGTACCAACTCTTCCGTGACAATGTAGGTGGCTCTGAAAAGAGCCTTTGTTTTCCAGCGTAGCTAACCTTGCTCCTTATTTGGCCTTGTGGTGGCTCTCGGTCTTCTTGGGCAGCAGCACGGCCTGGATGTTGGGCAGGACGCCGCCCTGCGCGATCGTCACCTTGCCCAGCAGCTTGTTGAGCTCCTCGTCGTTGCGGATGGCCAGTTGCAGGTGGCGCGGGATGATGCGCGTCTTCTTGTTGTCGCGCGCCGCGTTGCCCGCCAGCTCCAGGATCTCGGCCGTCAGGTACTCCAGCACCGCGGCCAGGTACACCGGCGCGCCGGCGCCCACCCGCTCGGAGTAGTTGCCCTTGCGCAGCAGGCGGTGCACGCGGCCCACGGGGAACTGCAGCCCGGCCCGCGACGAGCGCGTCTTGGCCTTGGCGCGCGCCTTGCCGCCCTGCTTGCCGCGTCCGGACATGACTCACAAACTTCACTGAAGGAATTAGCGAAGTGAAAGAACCCGGGCAGGACTTTTTATAAATCCTTTTGGGCGCGAAAAAGGAGTGTCAGTGGTTAAGAGCACATCAACCAATGGAAATGCGTGCTTGGAGAGTCTTGCATTCTGATTGGGCGGGGTTAACTTCTGCCAGAGTAACCACCAATCAGATGCAAGACTCTAACTAATCACCTTATTTGCATGAGCAGTCCTATAAAGAGAGGGCACGGGGCATGTTTTCTTGCAGCGTTCCATTCCCTCGGAGTTTGTTGCTTCTCCTGCCCAGCATGCCTGAGCCGGCCAAGTCCGCGCCCGCGCCCAAGAAGGGCTCCAAGAAGGCGGTGACCAAGGCGCAGAAGAAGGACGGCAAGAAGCGCAAGCGCAGCCGCAAGGAGAGCTACTCGGTGTACGTGTACAAGGTGCTGAAGCAGGTGCACCCCGACACGGGCATCTCGTCCAAGGCCATGGGCATCATGAACTCGTTCGTCAACGACATCTTCGAGCGCATCGCGGGCGAGGCGTCCCGCCTGGCGCACTACAACAAGCGCTCGACCATCACGTCGCGGGAGATCCAGACGGCCGTGCGCCTGCTGCTGCCCGGGGAGCTGGCCAAGCACGCCGTGTCCGAGGGCACCAAGGCCGTCACCAAGTACACCAGCGCCAAGTAAACTCGCCAAGTAAGAGGCTTTACTAACTAACCCCAAAGGCTCTTTTCAGAGCCACTAAATTGTCAATATAAGAGCTGTAATTACATGTTGGGGATCACAACCTTGTTGCTTTAAGAGTTCTGTCAAATGTTACTGTGTACCTACACCTGTGCTCCAAGTTGGAACAGGATTATATTGAGTGCCTTCTTTTAAACGGGGGGGTGGGGGGGTTTCAAGACCAGGAATGTGAATGTGGTGTGTGTGTTGCAAAAATTGTCACGGGCTTCCGAAGGTGTAATAACGTATGAGCTGAAAAACGCAGAGTGGCAGGAAGCTTGTTTAATTCGTGAGACAAAGTCTCAAAGTTTTGGCTTTTCCAGGCTATTTAGGGTCAGGACAAATGCCAGGCTGTATTTGAATTGCCCTTTATTGAAATAATGGCTTATAGGGGAGGTCAAATTTCCAAGTAGGTGAGAACAGCGTTTTCTCCCAAGTTAAAGTGGAGTACAAGGGGTGGTAAGGCTCATGTCACTTCTCAAATTGGAATACGTGGCTGGAGAGGGGATAAGAGACAGATGGTATAATGGAAAAATTGGCACAGTCAGTTGTCTTACGCGACTAATAGTTGCGAAGCAAGGTAAATAATCTGAACAAGTTTTCCTTTTTTTTTTTTTTTTTTTTAAACAAAACAGTGGGAATCTTTTCAGCTGTTAAGTGCTGTGCTGTTCAGAAGAAATGAGATCTTTGTGAGGCACTGAGACAAAATGACTCTGAGCCCCACAACCTGACGGATTATAGAAGACAGGAGTAACTAAATGAAATAGAGATAGCTCCATCCACACAGGCCTGTTAGTGGCTTCCCTACTGAGAGTGGTCAAGAAAATTACAGGTTCAGTTATAAAATATTTGTCACTTATAGGTGTTGTTATCAGTACCTCTATTTTATTTTAAAAGGATAAAATTTATCAACAATATTACATAATATGTATTTAGCACAAATTGGAATACTCTTTAGAATATCTTAGGCATTTCTGTCTCTACTTTCTTTTGTCTCATAATGTCTTTAAATATTTAGGCATTTGCTAGTGATTGCTTATGAAGAGACTAGGAAGCTCAGTCTTACCAAGTCTTTCAGAAAAGCCTTATTTTACAATTTGAAGTCAAACAATGAGATAAGCAGCCTAAATTGTTATGTCCATGGATGCCTGCAGTCCTGGGGAATTGAAAGGAAATAACTCCTATATGAAAAGTGGTATTCACAAAAGCCATGAAAAATGTTAGTTTTATGCTTTCAAAAGTACATAGCAATATTTAGAACAACCAACCCACAAGTTGACCATACGGTCATATAAAGTGAAAATACGTAAATACTTAAACCCCAGGAAATTTTTAAAAATAGGCAAATGAGAACAGGCAGTTCCCAGAAGGCAAGCATAAAGCATACTTACATAATCGGGGAAATGCAACTAAATACCTAGTGATCAGCAAATTATGGGTAACAATTGTTCGACTCAGTCCTGGACTATGGGAATGTAAGCTAAAAATACAGCCCTGAAAAGCAACATATTTTATTCTCATTCGTGAATGTGGCTACTATGAAAACCCCTCCTAGATAACATACTGAGTTAGGTACAGTGTACATTGTGGCCCGCTCCCGCAGCTAGAAGCAACCGCCAGAGGCCCACCAGGTCTGGAGAGTTTGGGCCTGTAGCCCCCAGTGCGCACTGACCCCTTCCTCTACGTCAAGCTAAGTTAAGCCGTGGTGGCCAAGAATGGAATCTCACTTGCAGTCAGCTCAGCTCTTTTGATGAGAATTTGGGGGCCCTAAAAAGGGCCTTTTTTCCGTGTAAGGAAGGGGTCCCGCAATGCGTCTAGCCGCCGAAGCCGTAGAGGGTGCGGCCCTGGCGCTTGAGCGCGTAGACCACGTCCATGGCCGTGACCGTCTTGCGCTTGGCGTGCTCGGTGTAGGTGACGGCGTCGCGGATCACGTTCTCCAGGAAGACCTTGAGCACCCCGCGGGTCTCCTCGTAGATGAGCCCCGAGATGCGCTTGACGCCGCCGCGCCGGGCCAGGCGGCGGATGGCGGGCTTGGTGATGCCCTGGATGTTGTCGCGCAGCACCTTGCGGTGGCGCTTGGCGCCGCCCTTGCCGAGCCCCTTCCCGCCTTTGCCGCGACCAGACATCTCGGTGAAGCCAGAGACTGCTCAGTGCCGTCCACGGCCGCCGCTCCGTTTTATAAGTAGTTTTAGCGGACCAGAGTGAAAACCGAAAGCGCGGTGGCGGGAAGGCCATCTGGGTTGGGGGAGGGGACCCCAAAGAGGAAGCAGACGGCGTGTGCTCGCCTCTTTGTTCTCTGTCAGTGAATTCTCTGGAATCCTAAATACCTAGGTTACTTCCTCTGTCTCTTCTGAGTGAATGGCCTTCCCGCCCCATCCTCGTTAAACAAAACTTTTACAATGTCGAAGCCGCATGAAAAAGCAAACCCTTGAAGAATAGCTGTGCCCTTCAAGAAACATTGTGTGTGCTTCTCTTTCAAATGCACATGGGATTTCACGAGTGTTCAGATTCCGAGATCTTTTAATCAATTTCAAGTGGTCGCACGTTATCCCCTTACTGATCATGTTCTTGTTCTCTTGCATTTCAATGCGTTACTTTTAGCAAAGTTCTGTTGCGGTGTTTTCATAATGCTGCAGTGACAAATGACTGGTCTCTCAGATAAGCATGAACCAGTTTGTCTTTCCCATATTCTCGCAGTTCCCCCTTGTTTGACAGGCTTGTCTTATTGCATTCCAAGGAAAAAGCAAGTTGGTGACACCCTGGCTCCGCGCAGACCTCTTCCCCCTTCCCTTTGCAGACCCCCACCCATCAGACCCCCCCCCTTTTTTTGGTATAAATACCCCTGCACTCGGCTAGAGCAGGACGGTTGTCTTTTTGCCATGACTCTGCTGCCTTCCTCATTTGCCGACAAATTAAACCACTTTCCTTTTTCCTCCAACTTTTTTTTCCTTTTATTGGCTGAGGGAAACTGAGGCCGGCGTTCGGTATCAGAATTACTGTGGAAATTATTGCCTTGGGGCCAGATTGGGTTTGTCTCCTATGAATGATAATCCTCTATGCCGCAAGGTATAGCTAATTATTTTTTCTGACCCCACCCCAGATTCCTGGAAACTTCCATAGCGGGATTTAATTTAATATTCATTAATCATCCCTACTCCCAGCACTGACGTCCTTGTGAGACCTTCCAGCCTGTTTTTCCACTTTCAGCTTCCATTCAAAGTGTAACAGGGTGGTCCCCAGGAAAAGGGGAGGTTCCAGGTTCCCTGCCCTACCCAAGGGAGGGAGGAGCTGAGCAGGGTGGAGAAGAAGCTGCAGAGGAGACTGGGTTAGGAAGGAAGCAGGACCAAGAGCCAGAAGGAGACCTGGGGGAGGCACAAGGAGCACAGAGACATGTGAAGAAACTGTGCTTGCTTTTTGGTCGTGGACTGAGTGACACAGATGTGGGTGAGAGACCCGTGGGGAGGTGACAATGGTAGCTTTTATCTTGATTTTGATTTTGCTCTTTTCCTTTTAGACTTGTCTGACTGTTTCTGACCCTTTTTTATGTGTCCCCACCAGAAGGTGCTTTAGACTTGTGGCACGCTTTTGGGCCTTGCTTTGGGCCAACCCTGTTTGGCTGGACTTTTACCCATGAGGGGATGGGTAACTGGGTGCTTCATTTGGAAACTATATTTGTTGTCTTTTCTGTATTACATGTTAATTGTATTAAAGTTCCTTTACATTAAGGTCTTCTATGTTTTGTCTTGATGTGGCAGATGGCAGACCCTATTTAGATCAGGCAGGTTTGGGCATTCTGGGGTGCACCTCTCCCTGCTCTGTAACTAAAGGACTAATAAAAGCTTTTACCTATTTAAGGTATTTTTTACCTACTCCACCTGACTATTTTATCTTGTGACTCTTTCACCCTAGCATCTCCTCAACTGCTACATCATTGTCCACTACATCCTCCTTTTTCTGTCTGTAAGAACCCCCTAAAGTCCTTGGGAGGGTCCCTTCTCAGGATACATTTTGGGCTTCTAATCTGAACCAGTGCCCTCCCAGGTTGCAATTCTTTGACTCAAAAATTAAAACACTTTGCCTTTTTAATTGCATCCTAACACTTGAGGTTTAACACTGACAAGCTCCTAGGCAAGGGGCACAAGAAGTTAACTCCCTCAAAGCCTCTAGAAGGAACCAAACCTGGTAGCACCTAGGTTGCAGACTTCTGGCCACCAGAGCTGTGAGAATAAATTTTTGTTGTTTTAAGCTTATAATAATTTGTGGTGAATTGTTATGGATAGTCCCACCCAGGAAATGAATACAGATACCCAAATGAGAATGCTTACAACTGTTCCTGTCTCTTTTTAGTGCCTAGACCTGATTTGGTTTTCCTTATCGCACTGATCATAATCTAAAAATTTGATAATTTTTATTTTAAAATTAATTTTGTTTCCTGCTGGAATGTATATTGTAGAAGAGGGAAAATTTTGCCTCAACCCTTACTTCTGGAATAGTCTCAAGTTCTGGTTGGGTAATGAAATTGACTTTAGACAGATTAATAAGAGGGAAAATACCAATTTAATTATAAACATGTGGGCATCCCACATAGACATGAGGGGTTCTAGACAGAAAGGTAAATTGAGGCAGGCATGCCATCCTGATTTAAGGATTGAGATAGGGGCTTGAAGGAAGAGGAGGGTAAATCACATGATGAACATCAAGAGAGCACAAACAGGCCCCTCCTAAAACCACACAACCAGGCAAGAGGGCACCTGAGATAAGCAGAATCAGAAATAAAGCTAACAATAGTAATTCTAGCAGACCTGCCCCACCGCGTAAACACTCCAGCAGACCCCCTCAGGCAGAAGAGACCCCCACATATATACACCAAAAATTCCAGCTGTTGCCTAACCCTATAAAGACCCTCTCTCCCACTTTGTGAGGCGACTCTCAGCCTACAGGGCGTCATCCCTCCCAGACTTTGAGTAAAGGCTGCTTCCGTCTGATACTCTTGGCTTCCTCTCTTTTCTAACAGAGCTCTGAAAATACATGTTTGTCCTACCATATAGAAAGGTTTCTGCTGTAGAAAATTTATTTCTGGTAACAACACTAATTCTGGGTAAGACCCCAATTCTTCCATGTAGTTAAGGGAGTGGTAAAAGTGTCTCCTGAGTCTTCAGGGCCTTGATTGATTTCAGTTCAAAACAATCTGCATGCCAAGGTGGCACATCTCAGGAAGGCCTGCTCTGACTATCTTGGGGAGATTGTCTGAATTTTTTTCCACCTCTTACCGCCTCTAAAACTTCCTAGAAGTTTCACATAGTAGATGCCAAATTGTCAGTTATGGGCAGAAAAACTGGGTGAGCAGTTCACTGGTAAGAGAACTGCAAAGGGAGAAAAGAACAAAGATTGGATGAAGATGAATAAAGAGAAAAGAAAAACTGAAATGTCACCTCACAGTAAAAGGTGCCCATGGTATTCAAGGAAACAAAGTTAAGAACATTTTATTTTTGAGATGACATCTATTAAAGGAATCCAGTGAACAGAGTGTACAAGTCAATAGAACCCACTGGCATACTTGTTCCTTGATTGGTTGCAAATTACTTGCAATGTTACTTAAATGACCCTTCTTCATAGATAATTTTGTCATCTGTGCTGGGACAGCTGAGTTGCTGTCAGGAGTCCCCAATACCCTGTGCCTCACCAAGACCCATAAACAGCGTTTTGTGGATCCTGCATAAACTTACCCACATATTTCTAAGTCTTTGAGGCAGGTTGGCAGCTCGTGGGATGAACACTTCACATTTCCAAGGTTCATTGTGAGAAACATTTCCTGCTAAGCCTTGATGGGCCTAGGGCCTAATGTTTGTGAGAAATCACTCCCTGTCAAATTCTCAGGCAATAGTACTTCAGATTCTAGGCAATTGCCTATGAAAAACCTTTCTGGGGACTCTAGAATGGTGTGACACCTACAGATTTAACCCCAGCATTGTATTCATTTTATTTACCGACATTGAGGGTGGTGATGAGGAGAATGCATAGCATAGCAGTTTAAAGTTAGGAAAATGAGCTTGGCTTTGACACAGTTTGGTGGGGGAGGGGTGGCTATCCTGTCTCAAGACTCTTCATTGATCTGTAGGAGGACTAATGTAGCTTCTTATGTGTCTACTTGAATTGTTACTACCTGATTTGTTGCATATATTTTCACATGGAAAAGGTACACACATGACATGAAGAATTAAGACGGAAAGAAAGGCGTTTTCCTTTACCACTTCAATACCATTTCCTCCAAGGAAACAACATAAATGATTTTTGTCATTTCCTAATTCTGTCCTATGTCACATGGTCCCCTGATCTTTCTCCATTAATCCAAATAATCAGATCATAAGTTCCAAGCTAAATACTTCCTTTGTTACTTCTTTCTGTCATGGGATATAGAAATCATAATAAAAAGCCAGAATTTTGGGGAAAGGAGAGGAATTTAAAAATGAATCTTAGGCAGTAATAGTCCATTCCCAGGCCAAAATTTGTAGAATAAATTTGGGGGAAATACAAGGCTGCAAAGGTCCCCGCTAATTCTCCTATTGCTCAGAAAATGAAGCAGCCCAAAGGGTAAATAAATCAAATTTCCATCTTTTGTGTTATTTTTACCCTGGTGGAGTTCCCTTAAGAGAAAGTGACTGTTTATCCTTTGCTTGAAAAACTAAATATTGGGCCTTCCTGGTGGCACAAGGGGTTAAGATGCAATCTATGAAGCTGTCCGCAGCCTTTGCAGCACGAGTTTAATCCCCCAGCCAGCCAGAGAGCAACCCACATGGCATGGCAGACCTCTTCTGTATTGCTGGCTGCTCCCCTCAGCAGTGTACTTCTGTCAATCTGCATTTTCTGTTCCCCACTCTGTCTCTGGTGAATCCTCTCCCCCCCCCACACACACCTCTGGCCTGTACCCCAGCTCTTGTATGCATAAATAAATAAAAAATCTTAAAAAAACCCTAAGTATCAATTTAACCCATTGCCAATCAGCCGCAGAATAGGCCTAAGGTGAAAATAACATGTCATTGAAAAGATGTACATTGTGATATATGTCTTACCACAAAATAGATACTTGTAGCTTAAAATACTTTTCAGTAATTGCCAGGTCTTCCTCAGAGATGACAAATCAAAATGATGTCTTGAAC